GGGAACCGGAGCGTGAGATGCGAGAGCAGCATTCAGAGTTATTTGCAGAGTGAGACTTCGAGGACGAAGTCTATTTCTAGTGGGGGATAATTGTAACAGCCCGGAATTTTCAGGTATTTATTTTGGACTTAATTATGGAAATTGTGAGTGGACTCGGCGAGTCAGAGCCCAGACTCGCCGAGTAGGATCACGGATTTGGGTGCGTGTTCGCGTCCGGACTCGACGAGTCCAAGAGTGGACTCGGCGAGTCCACGCTCTGTGATGAAACCCTAATTTCCGGGGTTTGCGGCTTATTTAAAGGACCTTATGGCCGTCATTTGTGGTCACCCAACCCTTAGAGAGAAACCCTTGAGAGCTGGAACGTTTTGAGAGAGAGAGAGGGAGCTTATTTGACCTTGTGTGTGTGATCTAGCAAAGAAGGAGGAGGATCTAAGCAAGAGGAAGCAAAGGAGGCTACTATTCAGTGGATTTGAAGCTTAGAGCATCGATCTAGAGGTATGAATTCGATCCATTTTCTGATTTGTGGAGCATAGGGAGATCTAGGGTTTCTTATGGACATTTATGGAATGATTTGATGCCAAATAGTCCCCTTTTTGTGTTGAGACTCAGGATCTGGATCCATAGAGGTCCAGAGAGCCTCCCTCTTCCAACTTTATGTATAGCAATTGAGTTCATGGCCTTGAGATATTGAAATTAAGACAAAAACATCATTTAGGGTCATATAGAGATTGTATGTGCATCAAGATAGTGACTTTACGTGCTAAATAAGGTTGGAGGGACTGGATCTGTGGGTTAATGGACCGGATCTGACCTCATGATCAAGTTTTAGTCATTGCATGGCACGGACTCGCCGAGTCCGAAGAACAGACTCGGCGAGTAGTAAGAATGTTGCCCGATCATACAGCGTGTGGTCTTGCCGAGTCGGGAAGGGTTGACTCAGTGAGTCGGGGGGGGGGGGGAATCAGAGTGGACAGGTGGACTGAGTCAAGTTGGACTCGCCGATTAGTTCTTGAGACTCGGCGAGTTGAGTCGTGGTGGCCCCACAACTCATACCAGGAGGGACTCGTCGTGTTAAGGGAATACTCGACGTGTTAAGGGAGGATTTCAGGAAATTAGTGTATACGCTCAGACTCGCCGAGTCGTTATATGCACTCGCCGAGTCCGGTCAAAGTTGACCGTTGACCGTTGACCAGGGTTGACTTTTGTTGACTTATCAAGGAGTAACCAACCTTAGTTGGGGAAAGTGTTAATTAGAGTGGTATTGTGATTTAGGAGGACTATAGCTCGGGAGATCGAGCGCTAGTGATTTCAGGACTTACGACTTATCGAGATACACGAGGTGAGTCTTCTCACTATACTTTACCTTGAGTAGGTAACCAGAGTTATGTGATAGAGTATTTGTATGCCATGTATGTTATGTGTTGTACTGCATTATTTCTATGTGATTTATGTTGTGCATGTTTACAGAGTTAGAACCTGAGGGTTCACAGAGTTTGGGTGCACGGACCCACAAAGTTATAGCCTCGAGTGGCTAATATGTGTTATATGTGGTATTTTGGGGAACTCACTAAGCTTTGTGCTTACAGTGTTTGATGTTATTGTTTCAGGTACTAGTGATGACCGCGGGATGGCGCCGGCTTGATCCGTACACACACAGGGAGTTTATACATTTGTGATTTTGGGATTTTGTATTGACTTGAATTGGATAATTAATATGGTTGTTTTATGAATGTTAAATGAATTATGTTTTACGAAAATTTGAAAAATTTTGTTTGAAATTCACGGTGTTACATTTAAATAATGACATGTGTCATTTTAGTATCCTAAAATATCTTTAAATCTCATTAAATGAACATTAAATGCTACACATATCACTATTTCATTGGGTAGATGATGCAAGCCCAAACAACAGCAAACCAACTGGAGTCCAGTACAGGCCCAAGAGAACCACCCGAAAACCTGCTATGTTAATGGACTAAAGCAATACATGAGAAGAAGTCTTGGTTGATTAAGTCTTTCCTTATTTTCAGCTGTAGTTGCAAGGTATTAGGCCACGTTTAGATGCATGCATAAGGTCTTTTTACCATTTCCCATTCCTAGTTTCTAGATAGTTAGCAGCTTATTTAAGCAGATGTAATTTTCCTTCTTTTGGTATGAATGAAAAAAACTCAGAAAATTGCTCCATCCTCTGTTTCTTTCTTGGGAGATTCGCCTTCTCTAACAGGCTGCTATCATTTGGTGCTTTCATCCAGCCGTTCCCATGCCTCCTAAAGAAGAGAGTAGTAGTCAACCAAAAGACAACCCCTTGGCCCTCCTACAGGAGAACTTTCTCCAAATCACTCTCCTACTCTCCCAAGTAGTTCAAACACCAGAACATTATAAATGGGCAACAAAACTTCTTGGGTATGATTTCGAAATCATCTACAAGCCCGGGAAAGAAAACTTAGTCGCCGATGCTCTAAGTCGGATGGAGACACCACAATTACTGGCCCTTTCTACAACAGACCCCACCTGGCTCAGCGAGCTCCGACAATTTTTTACCACCCCCACTGGACTAGCATTGACTACAACACTCCTCACTAAAACACACGACCACGATGTCTTCCAGCTCCGCGATGGGTTAATCTACCACAACCGACGCCTCTACATTCCAGAGGAACCTTCCATCCGCCAACAATTGCTCACGGAATACCATGCTTCGCCCTTGGGGGACACTCGTGCACCCTACCCACCATGAAACGCATCTCTGCCATCTTCTTATGGCCTAAGTTGAAGACTGATGTGACTGCCTTCATTCGCAATTGTGCTACCTGCCAACAGATTAAGTCCCCAACACACAAACCATATGGGCTGCTCCAACCACTTCCGGTTCCATCCATGGCATGGCAAGACATCTCCATGGATTTTATTACCCACTTACCTCTCTCTGCAGGAAAAACAACAATATGGGTGATTGTCGATCGCTTCTCCAAGACAACACACTTTATCGCCCTACCAACCAACTTTGGTGCAGTTACCCTAGCAACACTCTTCCTCAGCCACATTTATAAGTTGCATGGCATCCCTAAAAGCATCATGTCAGATCGCGATTCCATTTTTCTTAGTTCCTTTTGGAAAGACCTCTTTAAGCACCTAGGTACACAACTTCGATACTCAACAGCGTACCATCCGCAAACGGATGGCCAAACAGAGGTCGTTAATCGATGCCTGCAAAACTATCTTCGCTCCTTTGTTAGTGATGAACCCCGTTGTTGGACCAAATTCCTTCACCTAGCGGAATTTTGGTACAACTTAGCTCACCACAGCGCCATCGGGATGCCACCCTTTCAAGCCTTATATGGTCATCCCGTACCAGACCTCTATCAGTATCGAGATGGTACATCCGTAACAACCACTATCGACACCACCCTGAAAGAACACCAAAGACTACGTTCGCTCCTCAAAGAAAACCTCAGACAAGCCCAAAAACGAATGACAGCATTGGCTAATGCACACAGGATGGACAAGGAATTTTCCGTAGGCGACATGGTCTACTTAAGGCTGAAGGATTATCGCCAAAAGTCGGTACATTCACGGGAGACCAAGAAACTCACCAAGAGATTTTATGGACCCTTTAAAGTCTTGGAGCGTATCGGCCAGATTGCATACCGCTTGGCTCTTCCTGCGGAAGCCAAAATCCACTCAGTTTTCCACGTATCATTACTTTGCCAAGCTCATGGAAACCCCACACCGATTCCGCTACCCGAAATTACATCAGTAGCTAATGTGCAACCCAAAAACATCCTTCAACATAAACATGTTGGGAAGTCGATGCAAGTTTTGGTTCAATGGGACAATGCAGATGCAACACAGCCTACATGGGAGTCCTTTGCAGAATTCCGTCTCCGGTTTCCAGAATCTTGTGTGAACAATCCCCTCACGTCATCGCTCGAGGACGAGCTCATTGCCAAGGAGGGGGCAATTGATGCAAGCCCAAACAATAGCAAACCAACAGGAGTCCAACACAGGCCCAAGAGAACCACCCGAAAACCTGCTAGGTTAATGGACTAAAGCAGTACATGAGAAGAAGTCTTGGTTGATTAAGTCTTTCCTTATTTTCAGCTGTAGTTGCAAGGTATTAGGCCACGTTTAGATGCATGCATAAGGTCTTTTGACCATTTCCCATTCCTAGTTTTTAGATAGTTAGCAACTTATTTAAGCAGATGTAATTTTCCTTCTTTTGGTATGAATGAAAAAAACTCAGAAAATTGCTCCATCCTCTATTTCTTTCTTGGGAGATTCGCCTTCTCTAACAGGCTGCTATCAGTAGAAGTATACGTAGCAACAAAAAGTAGGAGGATATTTAATATTTCTTAAACGTATAATTAATTAGGAAGTTTAAGAGCATAACAATATGAAACATGCCAAACCAAAATTACTATTTTACTAGTTTTGGAAGATTTATGCCAAACTTAGTTTATGTATCGGAAATTCTATATAACAATGAATTAAGGCGTTACTTTATAATAAAGTAAATATAAATTCATTCCGCGTTATACACAGTTCAACAAAAAATAACATCACTTTTGTATGGATGCATTTGACCAACTGATTGGCCATAGGTTCATTTAAATTCTAACGCATCTATAATATTTTCAATTTTGATCTTCTACATAATTGATCATGATCAGACAAATTCGATGTAAACCGTTAAGATAACATGTAAAAACACCATATTTAGATAATAAACGGTGTTGAAATATAGTTACTTTAATTATAACAATGGTGTTAGCTACAGAACTTTGTCTTGGATGGAGATATGCTAACAAAATTTTTTTGTCAAGACTTTTTTTTTTTTTTTTTTTTTCCATTCTACCAATTTTAATTTATTGTCAATTTAATACACTTAGAAAATTATCATTTCACATTCGCTACTTAATTCACAAAAAAAAAAAAAAACAAAAAACAAAAAACAAAAAAAACAAAAAAAAAAAAAAAAAAAATTCATTCAAGTTTATATGCAATTATAATAAGTACAACATTAAATCGTACAGATTTAACAAAACATACTACTTGTTCCTTGCTGTTTACAGAAAAATTAATGAACCATGACACTTCAATCACATCTACAAATCTGGGAAAACGAAAATTGAACGTAACCAAGGCGTGTCATTATTGCAGATATTAATGTAGATTAACGTCCGCAAACATTCTGGCACGTGGATATACACAAACTGGAACTTTCTATAACCATTGAATAAACAGAACATTAATTCTTATGAAACACCATTTACAAAATTCTTTTCTTCAATCTTACGTAACTTGTATTCGATTAATCAGCACCAAAATATTTGAAATTTCTTATATGCAAGCAATCAAGTCTTCATACATTCGCTTTAATCAACGAATCGAGCTTAGCATCTTGTCGATCCATTATGAATGTAATCAAGAATCGCAATCACACCCACCACAAACGCTTGATCGATCCCTGCGTTTACTACCACATGATATACATCCTTTTTTTCCATCACATCCTTCATATCCTTACTCACCGTTACCTGTCATCATCTATGTTAAAAAAACAGTACTCTGCGAATAATGAGAAATGCATAGATTACGAACACATACGCATATACCTGAGCAATGTCGTTGCCTCCTGAATCGACGATGCTGCATTCTCTGTCGGGGAAGTAACCGTTTACTTGAAAATTCTTGCAGTAGATGCTTTGATCCTTCTGTTCAATGGAAACCCTAATTGGTCTGTTGTTTGCTAAGCATCCTTTTGGATCTTTCAATGTAAAAAGCAACTTTTGATGAGATCCCACATAAGCTGGGGTGTAACTCCCCCATTGTCGATGGAGGCTCAATGCTTCAACTATGCCTGCCTACATAAATAAGAATTCATGCAAAACCCTAAAAAGTATAGAAGCAGCGTTCTTATTTGTTAAAATTGTAGGGTATGAGTTTACCTTTAGACGGATGAGAAGTAAAGGGTTTTGGTAAGCATCCGTGAGAGTCATCTGGTCCTTTTTGCCAAGAACACCGCAGCCATCCACCCTGAACACAACCTCATGGCTACCCAAATCTGTGACAACAAAGCCACCACCACCGACAACATGAGGCCGTGATCGAACCACTAGAACAGCCTGAGTTGATGAACAGAACATCTTACTTACCACCGGCATCTCCTTAACTTTTGTAGTCATTTTTCTTGAATCCGTTAAAAGGTTTTGATTTATAACAAAAATATTAAAGATAAAGAAACAGAGAGATATGCATATGTATATATAGTATAGAAATCAAATGTTTGGCAAGTCTTTACTATTATATAAATGTGGCAATTTACATGTTAAATGCATGTCATTTCACTTGAGTGTGGGATACAAAGAATATTAGTATATAACAAGTTTGATTTTTGAATGTCCAAAAACCCGAAGAAAGTAATGTCAAGTTTTGAATAATATGACGTGGAAGCTTAATAAAGTGAGCATATATTGGTCCTAAATTAAAGTAAGGATACAGTTGGATCATATCAACTTTTTCCTCGTGACTTCTGAATATCATGCGTCTACGGTATCCTTAACTCGTTTTTAATATACATTAATATTTTTCTTATACAGATTAAATTACTTAATTACGCACGTCATAAGATTATAATCCTTATCATTTGTTAATGCAAAAGATTTTATTCAAATAGATCATAATGAAGATACAAGTAATTAAACTAAGGCCAAAATGCAATGGACCTCTAAAACACCATTCTAAAACACCATTTTAGAAGCCAATTATATTCCAATCAACCTTTCAAAAGACACATCATTTTTGTGTTCGATTCCATTTTAACACCAAATATAGAGACCAAATGTAAACTCCTATAAAAAAAACAGTGTTTTAATGGATGGTTGGAGTGAAATTATTAAAATGGTATTAAATAATCACCATTTTAGAGTATTTTAGTGTTTGTGGTTGAAAAAGCTCTAAAACCTCTTCTCTTCAACTTTTATTTTTTTTAAACATGCAAATACTTATAAATAAGAAAAACAACAAAACCATGCCTACCAAAGAACTAGACCGGCGGGGAAAAACGAAAATACAAAGTCTTTATAAGCAAATAAAATAACAAATACAACCCATCTATACACTACTAGATAAAAGTCCTTTAATAACACGCAAACAATAACACACGTTGATAGAGGATGCGCATTCGTGCATGCCCTAAATTAATGTCCAACAAAAAAATTTACAAACACGGAAGGTGCATATGTTAAATGTTTGTCATCTAGAATTGTCGTGTAGCACTTGGTTCTTGGTACGTAATTCTTTTTATTTTTATCTAAGTGTTTTGCATTTTTGGCCTTCGACTTGGCAAGTTGAAGAAGCAACTTGCTGAGTAGAAGCGGGACGGGATGCGAGATTTAAGTGATGGACTCAGCAAATCGGATCCCGGACTCGACGAGTATGCCCTGGCTGGACAAAATCCCTAATATGAGGGTTTGCACCCTATTTAAACATCTCATTTAGTCACCCATCGCCCCATTTGCTCCCGGAAGACCCCCATAGCGAACCCCAATTGTGTGAGTGAAGATCTAAGGCCTTTTGTGTGATTTTGGTGCTTTTGTGATCTAAGAAAGGAAGGAAAAGCTTGAAGAAACAAGAAGAGGCTAGAGGGATCCGAGTTTGAGCATCTTCCACAGTGCATTTGAGGTATAAAGCTTATACCTTGCTCATTATTATTATAGATCTATTCTTGAAGAAAGTTAGGGTTTCTAAGAGCCATTTTGCCTACCAACCATGATTGCAAGCATGGTTGAAGGCTAGGGTTTTGGATCCAAGGTTCTTGAGGGACCCTAAGGAAGAAAGCAACTGTTTTAGAACCCATGGAAGGCCTCATGCATGTTAGGAGTTACTTTTTGAGCCATTTGGGCTCATTCTTCCATGCATGCTCGTAAAGTTTGTAACTTTACATGCTAGATCGAGCCTAGGGGCTTGGATTTATCTTTTGGTCAAAGGTTGTACATCAGAAATCGAGGATTTAAGGTATGGACATGTAACATACACGTTTTGAAATCGTGTTTTGTAATGAATAAAATTGTGAAATACTATGTGAAATTGAGTGTTGAGTTCTAACAAGATGGTCTTTACTAGAATTGAAGTAAAACTATGTTTAGAATCACTCAGAAAATATTGGAAGTCTTATGAGATTCCAATTAAAAGCCAAATAGTGAAATTTAGCGAAAATATAAAATTTTAAAGAAGTAAAGTTTTATTATTGAAAGTTGTAAATCATCTTGTCAGAAACTTGTAGGCGAAAACCTCGTCGAAATCCGAGTTATAACGAAGAAGTTATGACCAACCGAAGATCCGCGATAAACCGACACGACGCCGAATGACGTAAAAATGATTTTTTGATAAACTACTTTTTATCCTTAGTGATATAAATGAAAGTCGCAGTATTTGTTAAACCGAGAAATTCGATAAAAAGAATGCCAAAATCTGACTTCGTATGAGGAAGTTATGATTTTTCGAAGTTTCAACTTAGCACTAGACAGCTAAAAACTCGAATTTTAGATCGAGCGATATTTGACCGATACATCCTAAACGAGAATCGAAGGTCTCGTCATTTGTAGTATAATGGTAAAAAGTCTGACGAAAACGGATGTCGGATGAAGAAGTTATGAATTTTTAACAGATTTTCCTATCCCGATCTGTTAAAAATAATAATATTAAAAATAAAGTCAAAATTAGCCGACGAAGTCTAAACAAAATTGTAGAGCGTAATTTTATCTACGCGTGCATATAAAGAACATAAAAAATGGAGCTTGTATGCGAAAGTTATGGATTTTTGAAGTTTGCGGCTCAAAATCCGAGAAGTCTCGCATGAATAGTGCCAGGCTACGTCACCACGCACGAAGCAGCAACGTATCCGAGACTTGGCCCAAACCGAAACCGGCACGTGTCGCATGCTGATTCGAACAAAGTGCGGTCCAACGAATTTCTGATGCGCCTTGCCTTGATGTCCGAGGCTCGCTCCTCCACGTCTCGCCTACCAGCCTCGCATCCGAGCCACGTCCGACCTCGCTGCCCCTCGCTGCTGATGCCACCGAGCTGCTTCGCTGCCTGGTTCCTTCCCAGCCGACTTCGGTCTCGCACCCTATAAATAAGGGGGTTGCGAGACTTGCCGACTAACTTTAAATTTTTGACACTTTTCACCGCTTTTTCCATATTTTCTTCATTTTGACTTTCCCTGAAGCCCCGGTATCAATTTTAGCACCCGAAACATGTCCCGAAGCTTTTGAGAATCCCGAAAATTTTATCTTTTCGGTTTTGAAGCCCTACCTTCACAAAGCCCGGTTTTCAATTAAGCTCCCGGTTTTCAACATAGAAAGTCATATTTAAAGCCAAAGTGTTGTCCAAATTACTATTTTAACCCCCGATTAATTTACGGTGAGTTCAATATATAGGAACAATTGTATGTTATGTGTTATATGTGCTATGTGCTTTTCAGTGTTATTATTCTGAGTTATTTTCCCGTGTTATTTTATTCGCTATGTTTATAGCAAATGTAATACCTTTGAACATGTGATCGGTGAAAGGACTTAGATTCACATTTGTACTGGTACATAGCCTCTGGCCATGTAGAGCATGTCCCCATAAGAGAATGACTTCTATTCTATGGCATTGGCAGAAGGTTAGATAGGAATGGTATGTAGCCTCTGACCATGTAGAGCATGACTCTGTAAGAGAATGAACTCTATTCTATGGTATTGGCAAACGGTTAGATAGGGCTATAAGCCTGAAATCTACCAAAATGTTAATCAGAAATTATATGTCTTCTGTGCCATTTGGGCCAAAACTTTATTAATGCATATCAAGTATTGAAATCGTTATGTCTCATTGATCGTAAATCTTTGAATCAAATCTTGAGTTGATATTGAAAGCCTGACATATGATACGCATATGTTATTGTTTTTCTTGTTCCCTTTTGCTTCAGTCATATTGGTATATATAAGGTATAAGATTATATTGTATCTATTTTTTGAATTCACTAAGCGTTATCGCTTATCCCTCTCAATGTTTAACAATTGCAGGTGATGAGTATCCAATATACTTTTATACTGCTGAAAGATTTAGAATAGTTAATACTATTTCTCTGTATTTTAATGTTCATGTATGTATATGAATAGCAGATTCGTGGGTAGACATGAAATGTAATAAAACTTAGTCGGTTTGTATCCAATCTTTTGTAATCACTTTATGAATATAAAATATTGTTTTAAAAATATGCATGTAGCATGTTTTGAGGAAGTAACTTAAGAATTTTTTTCTGAAATAGTATGAAAGTTTGGGTCTTTCATAAATACGAAAGTTGGGGTCTTTCAATCATGGTATCAGAGCAATGGTTTAGGTGAACTAAATATCACGGATTAGTATTTAGACTTAAACTATTGGAAGCTCAATATATGAACTGATTCATAATAAGTATATGGATACAAACCATAGTAAAAATATTTAAGTAGGGGATTGGGTAGTGATAAATCCTTGTATTCTAAGATATTAAGTTACTTCAGAATTTTAAGAAAATTAGTTTTAGTGAACTAGGAGTTTTGAGAATTTCTAAGTTTAAACAAGAATTGTTAAGTGAAAATGATACGATATGTATCTGGTATATTTTAGGTTGAATACCTAATGGAGTCAAGCACTAGAATATTAATAGGAGATATGCCTTATATTCTAATATGTGCTAAATGATAAATGAATATAGCATGCCTTAGGGTGCTTATCTATAATTGCTAATATTTGAGAAAGCTTAAGGTTTGTTGCCGACCTTGGTTTAGAAAATTTTATGTTCATAATTCTATGAATTTTCATAATAGAATTTTTTGAAGTGATAAAGAGACTTACGATAGTTGTCATAGATAAGTTTATAAACAAACGATCGCGAGATATCGTAAAATAATAATTATGATTTGTTATCATAATAAGTGTATTAATACCAATAGAGTGGTAATATACATTTAAAGTATGTTTGATATATAATAACAACTTTGGAAGAAAGATGTGCGTTTGAAACACGTTTGAGCAAGATAAATGTGTTAGTACAAATCCACAAAGTTGTTCTACCACTGTTCAGATTGAAGCAATGATTGTTTAAAGAGTCGGAAGAACCGAAGATGATGATCAATACTTCAATAGTATCTCAATTGATGTTATACAAGATTTAGAAGAATTAAATGAAGATCAAAAGAAAGGCTAATGAAGTTTTCAGACTCAATAGGCCAAGACTTTGTGATGTAGTATGTAGTTAGAATAGTAACCCTATAAATGATGTTCAAACTTAGTATTTAATAATACTAAGTGATGATTGACTTCTATCCCATCCTTATAGAAGTTCCATTGTGTGTTAAGCCGACTTTAACATACAAGATTGGGATGGTGAATTGAGTCATTTAGTGGTAAATGGTTA